GATTAATTGTGGAGCCATGTTGTAGATGATTGCTCTTGTCATGCGAATTTTGCGCTATAAATGTTGCCTTCTGTTGTTGCAGTTGTTGTTGTTCCATTGTTTGTATTTGCATTTGTTGAGCGTTCGGATGCCAAGTTAACAATTCTTTTGGCAATGTAGCATTGAATATGTCCAATATGCATTGACAAGTCTTATCCCAGGTTGTTTCGTTAAATTTAAAACCATTCGATATAACTAAATTTTCTAAACAATTTGTACCGGAACGTGCTAATTGCTCATTGCTTTGCTGTACACACCAATGTAGCTGCGCAAAGAGATCCTCCAATAACAGATAACCCAAAACATCAAAATATTGTGTAAACACATCGATTATTGCATATAGCGCATGGTTGCAGGTAGTTGTCATCCATTCGGATTTTTCGGTCACGTGTTCGGGCAATTTCATATTGTCGAATATACGAAAAATAATATTGAATAAATCTTTCCACCAATTCGGCTTAAAACTATCACCGTGCGTTTTAACAATTTCGAATAACACCGTTAGGCCGCGTGTGCGCACATCGAGCTTGCAGCGGTTGACCACACAAGACAACGAAAACAGCATTGGGAACCAGCCGCGCACCCAAACGCGATCCTCCTCTGCCACAGAAATGTCATTCTCCATGCCAGCATGTTCAGCGAATAATTGTGGGGCGTCATGCACACAGAGCGCACACGTGCGCACCAGACGTATGGCCTCCATGCTTGTATCTGGAAAGCGTGCATTGCAAGCGAACTCCGACAGACATTTCACCGCATCTTGAAATGAATCCACCATAACGGCGAATTGCTTTTGGTAGAGTTCGCCGATGATTTTGCCAGTTGTCTGAAATGCTAACTCAACAATGGCCTCTTCATTGTCGCTAGCTGCCAAATGGAATATTGAAAATATATTCTTCCAACCGGATTTTATATTATGCGCCTGTGAATTGACCATTTGTGCAATACAGCGCACAACCATATCGCGTATAGCGGGCGATTGATTTTTCTTCATAATATGCTCGAAAGGTCTGAGGAAATCCTTTTGGAAACGAAAGTTTGCAAATTCGCCCTTCTCCATAAATTTCATGGACAATTGACGCAATGAGTCCAAGGCAAAGAATGCAATCTCTTCATTTGTATTGCAACCCACAGTGTTGAAATGTTCGCCCAACACCTGCCAAATGCGTGACCACTGCAAACGTATACGCTCCATATTGTAGTAGGAAATTTCAACTATCTTTTGTAGCGAAAACATACGAGGCTGTACATTCTGCAATTCGTCAACGGATACCTATTGGACGCGAAAACAAAAAAAAAAATAGTTATAAAAATATTTTCTTGTGAAAAAAAAAACAGAAAAAACGTTAACTTCGTTTGCCAGAGGCCTTCCCAAATAAAAAAAAATCAGTTAGTATGACATCTATACGCTATAGTAGTCCTATTTGAACAATCTGTTTGGAGATTGTACCGTTGTCTTGGACCATAATTCATGCGAAATATTGTTAAGACTGTTGTTAATATTGTTATATGTTGTTGTCAATGAAAAAAAAATTTCATACAAGGACTTGATTATGTGTAATCGTTCAGTTTGTAACACAGCTATATGCTATATTAGTGCGATACTCGCGGTTCTGACAAATGGGCAACTTCGTAGGAAGAAAAAGATGTGTAATTTTGTAATTGAAAATCCATATCTAAAAACTGAGGGACTAGTTCGGGTATATACACAAGCGGACAGGCAGACAGACAGACGGACACGGCTAAATCGATTTAGTCTGTCATGCTGAACATTTATATATGTATTTATATCTAATAGTGTCTCCGAAGTTTGCTTTTGAGTGTTACAAACTTCGTGGCAAACTGAATATACCCACTTCAGGGTATAAAAACGAATTTTTATTACTAACCTGACAAAGTGCTTTGACAAAGTCCACTATGGCATCACCATCCAATCTTATGGAACCTGTAAATATACGATCAACAGCGACTACAACACTTTGGCTGCTTGTTTCGCCAATATGCTCCTTAACACTCTGATTAAGGCTATCTCTCAACGTTGTCTGTGCGCCGGACAGAAATTGTGGACGTACACCGGTACCGATCAATTGCGCCAACTCTAATTGACTGATACATTTGACGATGTCCAGCCAGCTGGAGCCAAGATAGTTGCCGTCCGTGTGCGCGACCATGATTAGCGTCTTTATCGTATCAATATTTTTGGCCTTCATCTCATTGATCGGCGAATTCGCGGTGAGTAGCGTAAAACGTGCCAACGCCTGTACATAAGCGTCACGTTCCAAGGACATATGAAATATGCATGCAATACGTATCGCACAACGTATACCATCTAAGCATAAGCATGCAATTTCTGGATCATCACAATCCTGTAAACCAACCGAGAATGCAGCCAGAAACGGCGTCCAAGCCATTTTGAACATTGGTCGCACGTGTTCCAGGTGCTTGGCCGAGGTAAACGGTGATTTTACATGTGACACCGATTCCATTAAATTCTTGGCTGTCGCCGAAATAGCCTCCATTTCCATATTCCACAAAAGTTTACGACGCTTCTCATTAACAATGATCTGTTTACCAGGCTTGTTGATGATGGTATTTTTCATTTTTATCTCGTGTCCAGCGATTTCATCATAAATTGACGACAAATATTCTTCGGGTAGATCATCTTTGCTGTCACTAATACCACGATTCATTTTTATATACTGCTCTTTGGTCATCTTATTCTTAACTTGGGGTGAATGCAAGTCCGTCGTTAACATAATTATAGAAAATGCTAGCACATACACCGTGTCGGCACTTTGGAACAACTGATTGTTGGGATTGCATTCACAATAACGACTCGCAAACTTTTCCATCAAACGATCGATTTTTTGCGCTTCGCCTGGCAAACGGAATTCTTCGAGTAAAAGACGCAGTGCGGCGACAACTTCCAGCTTTCGAAAATCGAAGGCATCAATGTAGGCACACATCACCTCTTTAGAATGATCGTCATTCTCGCCCAGATAATTACCGATAACCGTTTTATCCAAACGTTCGTCTTCATGCAGCCACTTGGCAATGTCAACAGATTTTGTGCCTAACAGCTGCTTCTCCTGCAGGAACTGTACACCCTTTTTAGGTTTTCTATTAAACAATTCGATGCCCGTTTCCATCACTTCTTTACGCATTTTTCGTTCTTCCAAAGCTTCGGGTAAATCAAGCACCTCTGTATTCTTTACGCTACCAAATGAATTTATACTATGGCTGGAGCCACCATAAGCCGAACGTGTCGAATTGTTGGTCTGTGAAAGCGAATCGGTATTGTCCAGTTGGTTATGTTTATGTGACATATCTACGCTTGTTTTATGCGTGGCATGTGTGTTTACCGTTTCTTGTGGATTTATTGTTGATAAGTTTGGATTTACGTACAAATCTTGACTCCATTCGACCATACATTTTAAAATTGAAACCAAACACTCCAGTCCGCGTTTGCGCATTGATTTCTCTTGCAGTGGATTTGCGCCCAACTCTACTGCTTGGCGACCTTGTGCTATTTTCGATAGATCGTTAACAAGTCGCTCAAATAAGTTCGCAGCCGAAAAGTCACAATCATAATTAACGTAGATATCAACCACAGATTGTGCATCTGCGCATATACGTGTCAATGCTTGTATTACCATCCATTTGTGTTCAAAGGAACTGGAATTTGCTTCTAATATATTGAGAAAAATCTCTTTGAAAAATACTTCTATTTGCTTTTTAAGATGCACCTTGAAGTTAGAGAGTAGCGCCACGAATATAGAAAGGGATAATTCGAACACTTCGGGCACCAAACTAACACCATTTTTCGAAAGCGCCACACACAGATACTGCTTGATGGCCATGATAAACATTTCATTGGAACGGAAAACCGGACCAGCATTTTGCAATATGGATAGTAATAAGTGCAGCGATAAAACTTTTGAACGTAATTCGTGTGATTTCGGATCGGGATGTCCTTCGGGTAGTGGTTTCATGCTTAATTTACATAGTGCACGAAATACGAGAAAGGCATCTTTTTGCAAAATATGTGTGAATTTTGCAGTGACGATGGCATCGCTCTCATTTTGATTATCTGTATTTTCTTCTGAATTGAGTTGGTTATCGATTCCTTCCACTGACCCAAAGGAAGAATTAGTGGTTGTTTCTTCGGTGGCACCGTTGGACATTTCTTTTAATGCTTGCTCAAATGCGTCTATATAAAGAAAACATAAATATAAATATATATATAAATTTACTTTACAATAAAATATAAAAATTCTTACTATTTAGTATTTCATCTAAAGCGGAACTTGCAATATTTTCCAAAGACATTTCGGTTTCGCCAACGTTATTTTCTGCTCGCTCTACCACCGGTGTTTGTGCACCAATATCTGTTGTTGAGTTGTTCTTAGTGCCGTTTTCCATATGGATACTCGCGCTCAACTCATATTCTTGGTTCTCCATACGCGCGAATATGACATTAAGCATCTGTGTAAGTGTTGCACGTGCTGTAGTCTGATTGACTAGATTCTTGCTCGACAAATATATATCGTAGCAGGTGCGTACGGCTTGCAAAACGGTACCTTCATGTATTTCAACATGTTGTGATGTAACAACAGTAAGCAACGCTTTAATAATTTGCAATTGCACACCTTCATCAGTCTGTGGCCCATTGAAGCAACCGCATATAGTATTGACAATGCGATCAATAAGTAAATGCCCAGGGCTGGCAGAATCCTGTATGGCACCAGTCAAATGCCCATATGCTATGAGCTTTTGTAGACAATCAAGCGCCGTCACAACAATACGTGGCGAACGACTCTTACATGCCAGTTCAAAGGGCAGAAAATATGTTTCTGCATTAATAATACTGGCAGCGTCATTTTTGGGCAATGGTAATGCTGCACATGGCAATTCATTACCTTCAGCAATTTGACCTGCATTAATAAGTTCATTTTTGATTTGTTCGAGCGCTGAATCACAAGACTTTTTCAGTTGCGAATGATGCGAACGCCGAATATCTTTATCCGCTAAAATTTTCTCTAATGCACGCACGATAAACATTTCTTTAGCTTTCAAGGAAAAACTTTGCATATTGTCAAGATCCTTCACATTAAGATAAAATTTGTTGATGGGCGATAAGGTCAGCTACCACGCACACCCCCACAACACACAAGTGTTTATCAGGTAGTATTTTCTTTTGCACTAATTAAAACACATCATTTTACAATTTAATTAAAAATACCGAAGGCATCGATTAGAAAATATACAGAAAATACATATGTGTAAGCAAAGAAAAACCACCAAATATTGTCCACTGTCCTTTCATGAAAAATAAACGTCATCAATGATTGTCAATACAACACTATTTAAGTCGATAAATGAAAAATATCGAAAGTTACGTGACAGAGTGACACATGTGATGTAAACTTTGAAAAATTTTATTTTATAATCCCAGATTCAAATAAGGCATGGTTTTAGGCGCTTGGCATTAAGAAAATGTACTGATATAATAATTTAAATAAAAATAACTTCGTAATCCAATAAGTTACACTAAAATCCAATTAAATAAATTAAATTTCAATTAAAGTAAGGAATTACGTAAAATACTCATAATTATGAATCAAACTAGTTATAATTTCATTCCATTTTTGTATATTTGATTTAATAAATAATTTATATATTTTAACATATGTTTTTAAACTAAATTAGTTTAATACAAGTGCAATCATAAAATTTCTTCCTCTCCCAATATCCGGTATAAATTATTTTAATAAGTTCACATCACTAGATTATATATATAAACGATAATTTTTCTTTTATCCGTTTAATTGACATGGTCGATTACTAACTTCCATTACTATGTGCGCCCTTTTAAAAACAGTAAACACAATTCTTGAATTCCTATATATTTTATGCAATCAGGTTAAAGGCAATATATAAGAAAGTAATTTTCTAGTAATCTTTAGAAAAATGGAAGTATTCAATAAATTTAATGAAAGATTTCCCTGCCGGAAAAAAGTGTTAAAAACTCTTATCAATTTGATTGGACATAGTGAAGAAATGCTTCCGGCTGCTATTCATATTTATGGTCATACAGGTACAGGAAAAACTTCGTTACTTAAAAGTTTACTTAATGAAAGCATACGGCGTAATAAAAATAAGTTAAACGTAGCATTCGTCAATTGTGTGGAAAGTTATACTTCAAGAATACTTTTTGAAAATATTTTGGAATATATAAGCAATGAGATTGCGGATGATATTAAGACCGAAAACTTAAAAGACTTTGTGGAACAATTGCGGCGCTTACAATCACAGCCAGAAGCTCAGTATATAATTGCTTTAGACAATGCGGAGAGGCTTAGGGACATGGATGCAAATGTGTTACCATCTTTGTTACGTTTGCAACAACTTTGTGGTCTGAATATTTGTGTTATATTAATTTCACAACTTCCATTAGAAAAGTTTTATTGTAAAACTGGTATTGATGATCCCATTACACTATACTTTCCTCAGTACACAAAATCTGAAACACTGGAAATATTGAGTACTGACTTCAAAAATGCCCAAAAACTTATGGTTGCAATACTCAATCGTAAGAAACCAGAGAATCTATCAACAAAACTGCAGATAGTTTATACAGTAACGAGAGAGTTTTTCAACAATTATTTAAATCTATTTTTGGGCGTCTTTTATAAAGCTTGTCGTGATCTCTCAGAATTGAAGATTACTGCGAGAAAATGTTTTACATTCTATATGGAACCTATATTGGATGGTACGGTTATAATGTCGGATGTTTCGCGTCTATGGCGTTGTATTGCCGGTCAACTACGAACAGCGCTAACACAAGTATATATACGAAGTGGTCAACCAGAGGTAATGTTTATATAAGAAAAATTTTCTAAATAAAATTATTTAATATTAAAAAATTTAATACAGACTCCAGCTGTAAACAATGATAAAGAGATCTTAAAAGTTGCTCAATCTCTGGAACTGCCTTATTATGGCAAGTATTTGTTAATAGCTGCTTTTATCGCCAGTTATAATTCATCAAAAGAAGACAAACGTTTGTTTGTAAAGAATCATGGTAAACGACGAAAGCGTTTGCAAAATATCAATGCGAATGCTAAAGTAAGTAAAAACATTGCGCTTAAATTGTTGATGTGCGAACTACTAAACATTTTATATTTCCATTTTACCAGGTAACAGAGAAAATGAATACTTATATTGGGCCAAAATCATTCAGTGTTGACCGCCTTTTAGCCATATTTTATGCAATACTTGAGGAGAAAGTTGGTTTAACTTGTAACTTGCTTTCACAAGTTTCAACATTAGTCAATCTTAAACTACTTAGTTTTGTTTCGGGCGAAAATGTAATGGATGGTACGTCGCGTTTGCAGTGTACAGTCGGACTGGATTTTGTTATATGCATAAGTCAAGTAGTAGGGTTTAATGTGCGCCAGTACTTGAGCGATTTTAATTAATGATTTTTATATAATTATTTTGTTTTTGTTTTTGATTATTTAGTTTGAAAATATTTGTAATAAATAAGTTGGCAAATCGCTAATATGTATCGTTTCCTCTAAGGTGGTATCACGACTACGTAGTTTTAATAGGCCATTCTGAAGGGAACTTTCGTTGATGATCACTGCATATGGTATACCTAAGCTATCACATTTATAAAGTTCATCATCCAATTTATCGTAACATTCGGTAAAAATCATATTTTCTTGTTTCAAACGTAGACCGGACCCCGACAGCACATTATTTATATGCAAACACAGATCTTTCAATTCGTTCAATTTGTTACCTTAAAACATAAATTTTTTGTTTAAACAAATAACTAAAACATATAGCAAATTTACCTTGATGATAGCAAGCTACGACACATTGATAAGGCGCTAATTTTCTATTGAGCAACAAAGTGTTTTCATATTCGTTATCAACGCTATCGAAGAGAACGGCTAAAAATTTTGAATATAAGATGAACACATTTTCAAAATGTTGACCATCTTCAGTCTTCTTACCACTTGTTGCAGCCTGCAGATCAATAACTGAACGTATAACGGCGGGTGCGATATCTAGACCACCGGTATTATTCGATAAAATTGCATTTGGTTTTTCCTTCAGCTGCGATTTTAATAGAGGAACTAAGGTTATTGACTCCACATCTAGCGTAACATAGGGTAATTTTGATCTAATTGTAATCGATTGGGTGCCAGGAGGTAACATTGACTCCGAAATGTCACTAAATTTATATGGATCTAAATAGTATTTGCTGGGATCGGTACTAAAGCGCATCCACCAGATTTTGCATTCACGTTGAGCTTTGAAAAAATCAGTAACACCTTTGGCCGGATGAGTTAAGTAATCTGTGATCAAGTATGTGCGATTTTTCGTTGTAGAAACATCAACCTTATTTAAATTGTTAACATGTACGTTTTGTACAGTTTTCCAAATTGCTGGATATTGTTGATTTGTCGATTTACTACATAAATACCTAATTCCGTCATGAAGTTGTTTCGAAAATATAAAATTAAATCTATTATCAGTATCAACTGAGCCATTGTCTTCAATGACATTCGTGAAATTATTGTTTACTTCCTTATTTAATGAATGTGTCCTGCGCCAATGGACTAACAGTTGTTCACTATATTTAATACCATTTTCTAACAACTTGCAGGTGTTTAACGACCCATTAGCGTCAATTGAGGCACTTAAATAATGAGATGAATGTAAAGCCTCAATAACTTGTTTCAACTGCTTCATATTCGGCGCGTTTAATTATCAGTAAAATCTTTTTCTTTTTGTTGTAGTGGAATATTGCCGGGTGGACAGACGAAATAATCCTCCTCAGTAACTGTTGCACTACGTAGAATATCTTCTCTGCAGTTTCCTTCTGTTACAGAATCTTCGCGTAAATATAGGTTTTGATCCTCCAAGACAGTATATAGTGGCAATACGTTGGTTGTGTCGATGTGTGAAATTTTCTCCGCAAATTCTATACTTTTTTCCAATGCAGTCAAAGCTTCTTTACTTTCTAAATTAACTAAAGCCAGACGCTCAAGGAGTTGTATAGTTGTGTTATCTATTACAGGTTTTTCATCTGTTGGAAAACTTTGTTTTATTGGTTCACTTGGAACTTTCGACGGAAATTTTAGTTCCGAAAAATTCAACTTCTTTTCCTTCGGGTTGTCAAATTTTTGATTTTTACTCACTTCCTTTAGAATTGTGCAATATTTACGAGTTTTATATAAAATTCGCTGCATTTCGCCGGTTACAAAACGTTCACAAAATATGTATATTGCATAAATAATAACTTGATTATGCGTGTCCAATGATGTTTACTTTTATCGATGCTTTTGAATTTTAGTATCATCGATAGCGCTCAGTGATTACCTACTTCATTTTTATTTGTATGAATCGATTAATACTTATCAAATCAGAATATGTTAAACAAGTTAAATACGGGGTTGAATAGACTAGAGTCTGGCATCGTCCCTATATTTCTTAAAATTCAATTACCGTTATTCCTTTATATTAAAATCTTATTTCTAAAAATTGTTTCATCTTATCCATGAACCCCTTACCGTTTCGTAAATTCAGATGTTGGTAAGATAATCGATTAACAACCGGTATAATTACACATCCATGAAAAATAAAACGACGACAAAAATAATATCTTTGACATACACTTTCACAACATTAAAGTTTTTGTTTTCGTGTGGTAATATTCTTATCCCTGGTAATATTCATTGCTAATTGATCAAAATGCCGTACGCAAATCAGCCATCTGTGCAAATAACTGAATTAACAGACGATAATGTGAAGTTCGTTTTGGAGGATACCGAGCTGAGTGTAGCAAATAGTTTGCGTCGTGTTTTCATAGCAGAGACACCAACACTTGCTATCGACTGGGTACAGCTTGAGGCAAACTCTACAGTACTATCTGACGAATTTCTCGCACATCGTATAGGACTTATTCCCTTAATATCTGATGAAGTGGTTGAACGCCTTCAATATACACGCGATTGCATTTGCTTGGATTTTTGCCCGGAGTGTAGTGTGGAATTTACACTTGACGTCAAGTGTACTGAAGAGCAGACTCGTCATGTTACAACGGCAGATCTAAAGTCGAGTAACCCGAAAGTATTACCCGTAACATCACGTCATGTAAATGAAGAAGACAACGAATATGGCGAGAGCACCGATGAAATTTTAATAATAAAATTACGGCGTGGTCAAGAATTGAAATTGAGAGCTTATGCAAAGAAAGGCTTTGGAAAGGAACATGCTAAATGGAACCCAACTGCAGGCGTTTGCTTTGAATATGATCCAGATAATTCTATGCGTCATACGCTGTACCCTAAACCGGATGAGTGGCCAAAAAGTGAACACACCGAATTAGAGGATGATCAATATGAAGCACCTTATAATTGGGAAGCAAAACCGAATAAATTCTTCTATAATGTAGAATCTTCCGGTGCACTTAAGCCTGAAAATATAGTTATAATGGGAGTTCAAGTTTTGAAAAATAAATTGTCCAATCTGCAAACACAGTTGAGCCATGAGACACAAAACGATGCACTAGCTGTATAAAAACATACAATTTTTTACTAATAAATTTATGTTTATTTCAGTAGCCGTTGTCTTATTCACTGAATAGTTTTTGAATGTCTACATTTACACCAGATTTGCTACGTCCCTCTTTACCCAAACTTTCTGCGAAATCATTGGATAGTGTGGTTTTAATCTCAACGGGGGCCTCTGAACTATTTTGAGTACTTGAGTTTCTAGTTTGCTCTGCTAACAATTCAACTGCTGTCTCATACAATTTCTCTTCGTCTAAAGGATTTTGTGTTTTTAAATTTTCATAAATCTGAATAAAATTTTGTGTTTGGGTTTTCCTTCTCTTATCCAATAAGTTTATAGTCTCATTTTGTTTTGCCGTTTTATGAAATTTTCTGAAATTAACTTTATGTTAAAAGAGATATCGAGATTATGTTCATAAACTTACGCTCTTGTCACATCTTCTGCATAAAATATGTTTTTGATTTTTGTGTCGGTTGCAGGACGATCAAAACGTGGTTCTAGTTTTGGTGGAAAAGCTGTATACAAATCAAACCAAATGGGTCTGTCTTCATATTTCATAGCACCGGCTCTTATTAGGCCATTCACTCTGAAAAATGATTTTACTTACAGAATACCAGAAAATTTATTGCCAACAAGTCATATAAACCTCGTGAATATAGTTCCAATTTTTTCTAATCTACTTTGCGCCATTTATAACAATTTCACTAATTCGCTTGAAAGAAATAGAAATAATGTTATGAAACATATGATATTTATCCCTTGCATGTTTGAAACTTATCGATTTATTTAGTTTATTGATGACTGTTTCCTACTTATAATCGTTGTAATTAGAGAAATATTTGATTTATTATCTGAGAAGAATTTTTCTAATTTTATAAACATAAACAATCATATTTAAGTAAAATGTCCCAACAAAGGGGCCCCGAAAATTATAATTTCTTTTATATTAATTTTTTTCAAAAAATGAATTGTTTACGAAAAATTAAAAAAGTTACACTTCACAAAAATAACCCTGTTCGGGCTAAAAACGGGTGTTGAACTCCTTTCCGCACTATCGGCCTTCGCTCGTGCTTTAAAAAAAAAATAACCCTGCTCGCACGTCGGGCAACTTTTTGCACTCGCGGCCAACGGTCGTGCTTTAAAATAATAACTCTGGTTTCAAAACGGGGTGTCCATAGTTCTTTTGCATCGGACTCCTTTCAGCACGTAAAAGAACTATTGATGTTGGATCAACCAAGGTTATTTTTTTTAAGCGCGGCCAAAGGCCGCCAGTGGAAAGAGGAGTTCGACGATTTTCTCTATTCGTCCAAACCATCAGATCGCGACGTGAAAGAAATTGTGACTGTTACGTTTCTTCAGTATATTTTTTTCACAAGAAAGTGTCTAAATAACTAAGTTCCTTGAAAAATATGTGCAAATTGTGTTAAACATATTTCTTCTTGTTGAAGTATTCATTTTTGTTTTAAAATTTTTGTTCTAAAACTATTCATATATCTTCAATTCGCTACTGCCGATAACATTCAAATACAATCGATTAATAATGAACTGTTTATTCTTTTTTTTATCAATGAACAGTGTTTTGATTTACTCACATATCATTTGCCGCATTGTTTACATTTTAAAACGTCGGAAACGTTAATGATTTTATTTTGCTTGGGAAATGCAATTTCTTCGTTGTTATTCAACTAAATTTAAAGATGTCTATCCGCATAGCACAGTAAAAATCTTTCGGCGAAATGACGTTTTGGTTAATTCTAAGAGTAAAGGTAATGTGAAGTCACTTGCCTCCATTGACCGTCAAGCCAGTGAAAGCATTCAAATACAAGAACCACCTCAATCAGATGCAAATAACGATTTTGCTGAGAATATTGTCAAAGTGCAAATGCTTTCACGAAGTTTACACAGCCAAATATTTACCACAACCACAAACACATTCACTGAGAAAGCAGTGAATTATGTAGCCGATTTAAAAAAGCATGGTATTGACGTAAATAGCACGGACCATTTACCAGATGTGAAACTCAAGCTACCAAGACTTCATGGCAAAAATATTGAAGAACACTTTTACAATATCGCTAAAGAGCAAGTAGAACCTTACGAGAAATTAATGAATTCATTAGTCTTGTGTAAAAAATTACCAATTCGTCCACAAAAATGGAATTTCAAGAGCGGTTGGACCATTTATGATTCTGTTACTGGTGAGGGAAAATCAATTAGTATACCACTTGAGGATGCATTAATCTTTGATGTGGAAGTATGTGTATCTGAAGGTGCAGCGCCCACTTTAGCCACAGCGGTAAGTGCACATAATTGGTATTCTTGGGTAAGCCCTCAACTAGTAAACGAAGGTACTTGTAGTCAATCAAATGAACTTGCATGGTCATCAAAGCGCTACCATTTAAACGATCTTATTTCCTTGGGTACGAAAGGACCCAAAATAATAGTTGGTCATAATGTTTCGTACGACAGAGCTAGATTGCGCGAACAATATCTAATTGAAGATACGGGAGTACGATTTTTGGATACAATGTCTTTGCATATAAGCGTAAGTGGTATAACCAGTTATCAGCGAGCACTTTTGAAATCGCGTAAAGAAACCAATCCTGAAGATGAGGAATGGCAAGCGCAGAGTTCACTTAATAGTTTAGTTGATGTTCATCGCTTGTACTGTGGCGGAGAGTCGCTATCAAAGGAGCCACGAAACATATTTTTAGAAGGATCGCTATCGGATGTCAAGGAGAACTTTCAAATGTTGATGAGTTATTGTGCTGGTGACGTTGAAGCTACTTTCAATGTATTCGGGAAACTGTATCCCATGTTTTTAGAGAGATTTCCTCATCCGGCTACATTAGCCGGTATGTTGGAATTGGGTTCCTCATATTTACCTGTTAATTCAAATTGGACGCGATACATAAAAGAGTCAGATTTAGCATATGAAGACTTAAGCATCGAAGCAAAGAACCACCTTACACGTCGGGCTGACAATGCTTGCAGGCTAATGAAAAATGAGGCATATCGTGAACATCTCTGGCTGTGGGACGAAGACTGGAGTGTCCAAGAGATTAAATTAAAAAAGACGAAACCCTTAAAAAAGGATTCATCGATATTAGTAAATCCAGACCAAAGGAATTTATCGCAAGAAGAGTTGCACTTACAAAGAAAATTTCAATATTTGTATGATATGAAGTCGCTTTTGCCGGCACGACGTCCACTTTTGCCGGGTTACCCAGCGTGGTATCGTAAATTGTGCAAGAAAATTCCGAAAGATTACACGACGAATAATATTGATTGGTCGCCGGGCGCCACAGAAGTAGGAACCGGTATGCAAATAGCTCCCAAATTGCTTTCTTTGTGTTGGGAGGGATATCCATTACATTATATAAGGGATCATGGTTGGGGATTTCTTGTGCCATTTCGCACAGAACCATACCCAGCTGTAGATACAGATGCTGCTTCGAATCCATATCGTATACCAATTAAAAAACTTATAGAACGTTGTCCAGTACCTAAACCTCTTGCGGCGGATGCTTTAGAAATGCAGGAGTTTGGCTACGACATGAGCACGCTCGATCAGGAGCTTGACTGTAAGTTAGGAAAAAAGGAATATTATAAAAAACAACCAAAGGACCACACAAACGGCATATATAAGGGAGCCGGTGTATGGTGTAAACAAATTTTAGAAGGCTGTTGCTTTTTCTTAAAATTACCACATAAGAATGGTAACTCTTTTCGGGTAGGTAATCCTTTGTCGAAGGATTTTTTAAACAAATTTTCTGAAAATGTCTTAAGTAGTGGAGATGCCGTAGAAGGTTCGGCGAAACGTGTTATTGATATTGCACGGATGATGTCCTATTGGCGTAACAATCGAGATCGTATAATAGGTCAAATGGTTGTTTGGTTAATGAGAGACGAATTACCGAATAGTTTGAAAAATAGCAAAAATATTGACGATGTAACAGAATACGGCGCAATTTGTCCACAAGTTGTTGCTTGTGGTACGTTGACACGCAGAGCAATGGAGCCAACTTGGATGACAGCATCAAATTCGCAGCGCGAACGAATTGGTTCTGAATTACGTTCAATGGTACAAGCACCGCCAGGATATCGCATAGTTGGCGCCGATGTTGATTCTCAGGAATTATGGATTGCTTCAGTACTTGGCGATGCTTATGCCTGTGGCATTCATGGCGCGACGCCTTTAGGTTGGATGACAATCAGTGGTTCGAAATCAAATGGTACCGATATGCATTCTATAACCGCAAAAGCTGTGGGCATATCTAGAGATCATGCTAAAGTTATCAATTATGCACGTATTTATGGAGCGGGTCAAAATTTTGCCGAAGGTCTGCTAAAGCAATTCAATCCAACATTATCAGATATGAAAGCGCGAACTAAGGCGCAAAAAATGTTTGCGATTACCAAAGGTAAACGAGTTTATAAATTGCGTGAAGAATTCGTAGATAATTATGAAAACCGAAGGTAAGAGGTTCAGTGAATTGTTTTGCTTTTCAAAATTTGTTGAATACTTTTCTATCTCTAATTACAGTTACTCTGGTTACGAAGCACTGAAGCTGGCTGCGTCCTGCAATCGCGCAGTTAAAGAAATGTTTCAGCACCCTAAATGGGTGGGTGGTACTGAAAGTGCGATGTTCAACAGATTGGAAGAGATTGCCTCTAGTAATTGTCCGAAAACGCCATTTTTGGATTGTCGGCTAAGTCGGGCACTGGAAGTAAATAGTGGCGATGAGAATCGCTTTCTGCCAACACGTATAAATTGGGTGGTGCAAAGTGGTGCTGTTGACTTTCTACATCTCATGTTAGTTTGTATGCGTTGGCTTATGGGAACACAAGTTCGCTTCAGCTTAAGTTTTCACGATGAAGTGCGTTATCTGGTGAAAGAGGAATTAGCCTATAAAACAGCGCTGGCTCTACACATAACAAATCTGTTGACCCGCTCCTTTTGTTCATCACGTATTGGACTTTCCGATTTACCAATGTCTGTAGCATTCTTTTCATCCGTCGAAGTGGATACTGTTCTAAGGAAGGACAGCACTATGGATTGTAAAACTCCATCCAATCCCCATGGTCTGCATATTGGTTATGGAATTCCACCTGGTGAAAGCTTAACAATATATGATGCTATAGCAAAAGCAGGAGGCGGAGATCTAAGCCAATGGGCTTGGATAAAATAACATTTTTGTTGAATTTTATTTTTCGGAAATCTTAATTATTATTTTTTAGTTTATCGATATAAATTGTTATGTTTGTTTTTAAATGCTGTGAAAAGGTATGACGAAAATATTTATACTGAACTAAAATTCAACATAACAGAGTTTTTATTCTGGGTTTTCAAACTTCGGTAAACGAAAAAGTGAAAGAATTTTTCAGATCTTAGATTGATAGATAGAAATAAATTGGGGAATTCCACTGCGATCTAAGGTCTTTTGTGTCCTTCGCTCTGTCGCAACGAATTACATAGGCTGCTCTTATATGGTATGTATAGCAACCGCAATGTAGGGTTCCTGTCCTACCGTCCGGGAAGCAGCTGCAGAGTGGGCAAACTCGCCAGTCAGTTCATTAGCGGCTACCCATTTGTGACCTGGAACCCAGACAAAGTGCACTTGGCTCCGAACTGATAGGCTATTTAGCCGTTCAATGCACTCCTGCACCACTAGCGATGTAATTTTGCAAGCTGAGGTCGCTTTAAGTGCCACTTGACTACCGCTGATAGTTGCGTTGCAGATTTATCTCTAGGCACCGACTTATGGTAAAGACTTTTGCTTGGAAAATGCTCGGAAAACGTCCCATATATATGGAAAGTTTGGTACGCGGACCTGCAGCCAACAACTGCACAAATGCCTTCTGACGTTTTCGCGTCGTCAGTGACCCACTTCTTTGTGAAGTTACCCTTTTGGTAATGTTATTAATTGGGAGAAGGGCCAGTATTGTTTCATCACTTAAGGCTTTCATTTGTTAGGTCGAGATAACTTTTTCTCTGCCATACTCTTCTGCCGTCATTTGAAATATTGTGTGTTTAG